GTAGGCAAACCTTTTACACCATCTCCACCAGATTAAAGCAGTTACCCTGTTATGCAATCTTACAGCATGCTGTATTTTCCTTCCTAATACTTATCATGATTTCTCATTTCTGGGATGATGTGACTGAGGGTAAACATCTAGCTCATTTTGTCCACCTTTCATATTTCAGCCCTTGGCACATTGTACACACTCTATAAATTTTTGTTGGTGAATGAATGGCAGTCAGGTAGAAAAAGTAATGAACACACAATTCTTGATTGAATTCAGGATGGAAGAGATTTTATTGACTAATATTCTGATATCAATTAATATTCTCTTATACATAATGTGGGAGGTCCATTAAATTTTGAGTGGGTAATGAATTTGACAGCATTGAAGTTCTTAAATTCCAATGTATTGTCAAGACTTATTTCAAAAGAGTATTGAAAAATTCATATTCAAATAAGATTCATATGCATAATTCCAGAAAACAACTGGGATTATGCTAGAAAGGAGGGATGAAATAGCTGCAAATTTCCTACTCGCCAGCTGGTCCCTTTTAATACTTCCAGCCTGTACTCCCACTCCCCACTGCCACACACACACACACATACACACATGAAGATGGAAGTGCATTTTTAAAAAATCACTGTGAGCCCTGGACCATTGTCTCAGAAATTTACCTAGACGTCTCCCACTTCATACCATCCCACTGTTCCTCACTCTCATCCTTCCAGGTTCTTCTCACCCATGGCCCCATTTATTTCTGCTCATCCTTTCCTGTTATTAACCCCACTCCATAGATTGCCAAATATATTTCCATATGCTTAGACCTGAACAGCATTCTAAGAGTTCTCCTCTCTCTACCCTGCATGGGGTCTGTCGTAACTGGTTTCTCCATCTCCAGATGAAGAACAGCAAAACAACCACCATAACAGTGGCCAATAGTCAGAGTACAACTGGCTCACACACTGTGCTATGTGCTTAACTTACGTCTGCATTATCTCACTGAATCTTCATATCTTTCACGCCCATATAGAAGAGACAACTGTGGGGTAGACATTGAATGTCATACTTAAGGTCATGGCATGTAAATGATAGAGCTAGAATTTAAGCTCAGGCTGGGTCTTTGAACCATTCCTCTGTCTAGCACAGCTAGCCTGATGGGCCTTTCTAGAATTCCATTTCTATCCTTTCACTTTCCTAGAGATATCAAAGTGAGCTTGATATTTGTAAATGGCAATAAGAAGCCAAGTTATTAAACCTGGCATTTGAGACACACCACCAATTGGCCTCACTTTGGCCTTGCCTTGGCTGGCCAACTGGATCCGCCATTGTAATAAAGGTTCATGTTGAGAAATGACTAGCCCTTCTCCAAGCCAGCCCCATCCATGCTTCATCTTATGGACTTCCCAAGTTCTTTCTGTACTTACAACATCCTTCTCCCCCACCATCCACCACTCCAAAGACTCAAGTGAAGTTCTAATTACCTGTGAGTGACAGTCAATGATAATTTTGGCCTGCTTGGATTGCCCTTTCATCTCAATTCCTGTTGGAGTTTACCTAAGAGAATACAGGGTGACATGGCTACCCAGTTATTTTTGAAAGTCCTCTTGCTGTGTAAATCCAGCCACTCCTAAGAAAAAGTACAAGTCTTACCTAAATTATACACTTTAAATTTTATGTATCATATAAATGTTATCATAGAGTACACAAAATTTAAGTAAAATCTCTATGATAGCCAAGACTTTTACCTATATACCTGTAAGTATGTACCACCAGAAACACACATAGAGTTGAACAAGTTGGATTTATTGCTCCTGGAAATGAGAGTGCATATCATCAGGAACTGTGAAGTATCTTATTGAGAGTATTGGAAGGAACTCATTATAGGGTTTGGGCTTCCATTAGGTGATTTGGTAAAAGGTTTCAAGGAAGTGGCGCATTTTCTGGATTGAATGCTATCAGTAAGTGGGGTAATTGGCTATCTTAATAAGTCTTGTCCAGAAGGAAGAACAGATTGAGACTAAAACAGTAATTGGTAAAAAAAGCATCAGTCATTTATTAACCAGGAGAGGGGGATATTTGGTATTTTTGTGGTTTGCATAGGGATCTTGCTTTTGTTTGTTCATAGGCAAGATATAAAGTGGTTTTGTTTGTGTCTTGATCCACACAGTCATAGAATGACCTCAAATGATATTGGCATTCTGTGAAATTATTGATCTTCAACAGGGGGATGCCACAGCCTACCTGTGAGTGTCAGGCCAGCTCCTAGGCTCCACAGCCTTGCTGAGGGTTGGGGGCTACATGTGTGTAAAAACAAAACAACCACTACAAAAGAAATTTGAAACAAACTACTATGGATGAAGCAGGAGCCTTCTCTGACTCTCCCCCACATATGTCCTCAGTTGACAAACACTCTTCCAGCATTAATATTCCATGAGTTGTGGTGGTTTTTAACCATGTCAACTTAGGGGAAGCTGGAACTATGTTTGCAGAATTCCCTTCCTTTTGTGGTTCCAAGTTAAAGTGGGCACAAAAGAAACTTTCATGAGACTCGGAAAGGAAAATGAAGCAACAGCTCTCCTCATGCACTAAAAATTGGTAGAGTGCCTCAGGCTCTGTGGAAGTTCAAACACAATGTCCCTGATCTAACAGCTCACCTCGCTTGGATAAGACGGTACCTAGGCCCACAGCTCCTCCAACAACCTGCTAGAAATCCTCTTTCAGCTTCGGTGAATGTCCTTCCCATCTGCTAGCCCAGTTGATTTCTGGTCCAACACCAAACACAAAGGCAACAGCCTTCCACAGACTTCACTACTGCCCACAATTGTATGTGACCATTCATATCCCTTATTCTTTATGACTCTTAGAAGTTCTGATTCTCTGAAAAAACCCTGACTGATAAGCACTCCAGATTTCCAGCTAAGAGGAGAGCACCTATCCTTGGAGTAACGTCATAGCATGCAAGGGCCATGTCACGAAGGGAGATGAATGATACTCCTACAGCATCAGATATGCCCGAGGGAAAAGCTCTGGTCTGACTCGGCTCCTGTCCTGTCCTGCATTTCAGGTTAGTGTGTCTGAGTGCTTGCAGCCCACAAGAGCAGAGCAGGGTAGGAAAATCTGGGGTGGTGGGAGGTAGCTGGCTGCCAAATGACCATGGGCTATTAACAACCTGAGGTGCTGTCACTAGGATTTGGAGCCCAAATCAGCTTCTGAGGGGATGAAAGTCTTAGCTGAGATGGCATAAATGTGAATGAAGCCTGAGGACACAAGGATGGAAAATGGCACTAAGTAGTAAGAGGATGTCAAGACAGTAGGGAACATTGTGGTCCAGATGAGGGGTCAGGATAAAGTTAGAGAGTGAAAAGAATGTGCATGGACACCATGTGAGATGTGCCTACAGAGGTGGAGGCTTTATGAAGCTGTGCCCAGCTGGACAGCCCTGCCCCTGCCAGGAAATATAAACACCAAATATATGCCATGTGCTACAATCTCTTACTTAGCTTAGCTGTCACAGCTACCAAAAAAGACAGATTTTATTATGCCAACCTAACTGTTGATGAAAGAGAGGTTAGGTGACTTGGTCTGGACCACTCAGAAAGTAAGTTGAAAGACAAGAATTTGAATTTAGATCTTGATCATACTTCCATTACACCTCTCCAGATCTGAGCCTTCTAGTCTTAAAGAAGAAAGAAAAAGGCCTTTAAGCAACCTGATCAATACCTGTCAAATCCAGTTAACCAGTAATCAGCCTCATGGCAACCTCAACTCCCCAATTCCCGACCCTCTGAAACTGGGAAAAAAATCAACATTTCTTGTTTGAACCCACTAAGCATTAGATATCTGTTACTCAGAGCTTGATAACTAATACACTGCTCTTAGGTCAGGCCATGTGGACACAGGAGGTGGGTGAAGGATGAGGGTGTGACTTATGGAAAGCCCCAAGAAAGCCTGACAAACAATGAAAGTACCAGGAACTCTCTTCTGGCTCAGGGAATTATGCAAAGACGGAGCTGGGGAGGCAGGCTGGGAGACAAATGTGTCCTGACCTCTTCTTTTGGGGCTAAAGTCCTTGAGCTCAAAGTCCTCTTGGATAGGCTGAGAAAGGGTAAAGTTTCTGTCTCAGTCTGTAGGGCCGAGTGTCTCTGAGGGTGCCCTGTACCCACCCTGGCTCTTGGCCCTCACGAAGTATGGAAAAGACCAAGAAGTTCCCACAAGCCCCTAAGGGAGAAAGCGTTGGTCGCTGAGACTTTGGCTGGGTGGCTGCCAGAGAAGGCTGTCACAGTAGAATGAGACAGAGTGACCCAAACCAGGATCAATGAGGAGTCCACCCCACAGCCCAGGAGTGCCAGAGCTGAGGAGGAGCCAAGTCAGCAGGGAGAGCTGGTGGCCCCCGGGAAGCAGCGAGACAACAGTAGTCACAGATCCTAGCACCCACTGTCAATGTCAGCAAAATGCCCAGGAGGGGAAAGAGCCACCACACACACCCACAGACCGCAGGACTCAGGAGTGCTTGGCGTAAGCCTCCCTGGCACCATCTTGGAGGGGCAATCTGGTGTGGACAGTAAGGAGAAGGAGGAAAGAGTGGGTCCCTCACAAAAGAGAACATTACTGGAAGATCACTTCAGGGATTTGAATGGATTGAGTCATTATTTTTCTCCACTATCTGGTGGGAGCTGAGGGCACAGTTGGAAGGAAAATCACATAAGTTAGAGAAAACAGTGAAGCTACAGTTTCTTGGCATATTTCAATCCAGTGTGAGTAAATATGTGATTCTAATTCAGATGCTAAAAAAGTGTGCCATAATGATTTATGGAGGTTCAAAGCAGGGTTGTGTGCTAGATCTAGAACATAAGAACCAGAGGTGACATGAGAAATGATCTAATTCCTGGTATTTCCCTCTGTTGTTGATTTAACTGATGGCCCCCCATGTCCCTCCTCCTCCAGCTCACGACTCAGCAAACTCCAAGGGCTGGTATTGAGTATATAGGAATCAGAGCCACAGCACATCTGTTCTGTAGGTCAGAAGGCAACCTTCATTTTATTAAAATGTGTACAGGGGACTGGGAAGGAAAAGGACCCCACTGTGATGTGGTAATGTACACGAAAGCCCACACCATATTCAAACTCCACTGTCCTGGGTTGTCACACAGGTGGCTCTTTGGAACTTGGTCTGGCTGGAGCTTGGAAGAGGCCTCTGAGGCCCAGATCTCCTGGTCAGCCCTCTCTTGACCAGAGCTGACCATGACATTCGTACCACTAGAGCAGGTGGGGAAGGCCACCAGGTCGGTTGAATGGGGACCTTTTCTTTGCTATTCATAAAGTCTTTTTGAAGAAACTTAGTTCTTGCAAGCAGCCCTGGTGTCTTCTAAATAGTCCGAGCAGTCAAGGAGGCAATGCCTACCAGAAAGTGAGCTCTACTCACCCTTTACCGAGTTTCTTCCCTGAAGTCAGAGCCCTGGCGCACTCAAACTCACAGGGAGCATCACCCTTCAGGTTCACACCTCATGTAACACATGTACCGATGGATGCATGGAAAAACTTCCCAATGGGCGCAGGCTCATTTCATGTTTCTCTCAATCCAGTCTTTAAAAGGTAGTACCTTGCTGAAGGCCGTATACAGTCTGTGGCTGCATGTTTTGTCATAGCTCCAGCTGACTAGCCCTACCAGGTGCCAGCGTGGCTCAGGTGATGCCCGTCCCGGGAAGGACACAGCCGCAATGCCCCCCGTCTCTGCAGTGCAGATGTTGGAAGGCACTGTGGGGTCTCGGCTGGCGCAGAACATGTTGTCTGTGACACTCACTGGGATACCGTGGTCTTCATGCTGCTCCTCACACAGCAGCGAGTCCACCACTCCCACCACCCCAGAGCGCAGCGTGTCATTCTTAAAGCCAGGACTTCTCACATCTGCCAGGACGTTCCAGCCCGTCACAGTGATGCGGGACTCCTGGAAGGAGGTGCTGAGGTCCCGAGGGGCTGCGAGGCAGATGGGCTGCACATGGGTGCTGATGCGAGCCTTGTCTAGCAGCTTCAGGATGGCAATGTCCATGTCCAGCAGGATGGGGTCATAGTTGGGATGCAGAATGATTGCAGAAATCTACAAACACAAGGAACAGACAACAATGGTGAGCAGCAACCCCACGGTGAGCAAAAGCAAGCGAGCCCTAGGGTTACATAATTCAGAGAAAATTTCTGAGAGACAGGTGTTATTATTTGGAGATACTTTGTTCAAGGGACCCTAGAAAGCAATTACTCTAGTGCGAGGGTTGCAAACTGACATGCCTTTTGGGGCCTGGCAGGTGGTGTTAAGTAAGTGGAATGGACAGGTGAGGCCACAGAGAGTGAGCTGGCATACCCCATCTAGAGTGGGCAGTTGTCCCGGCTGACCACTGCCACGTAGAAATGGGGCCACCACTCTCACTTTGCTAGAGAATAGAGTCCTGATCTTTATTTGAAACCTTCTGATTGTTAAATGTTGGCAAATAATTGATTAAAAAATAAGTCTTAGTGCTATCAAAACACAAACCCCTATGGGCTACCAGTTTGCAACTTCTGGCTCACTTCAAAAAATGCCATTTACCTTCAAGTCAGTAACAGAGCTACACACAGAATGGTCCACAAGACTTTTCCACCAAGATCTTCATTGATGATCTCAGTCCTTGCTGATCATTCTCTTTGAAGGGGGCCTTTTGGATCTTACATATGCAGTACATTGAGGCATGTTGATGTGCACGCCCTATTAATTCAGCTACATATGGGCTCATTCCTCAGGACTTCTCTTGTGTTGAACTAATCACAATATACTGGTCTGTCTCTTCCACTAGCCTGTGGACCTGTAGGATAAAAACCATGCCTTATTCTGCTCTGTATCTCTCCCTGTGAATGACATACAGTGGGAGGTCAACAACAGTGGATGGATGGATGGATGAATGGACAGATGGATGGGCAAAGAGAAGGATGAACAGATGGAGTGATAGTTGGCCAGGGGTGGTGAGGAAATGGAAGACAGGCAGGGAAAGAGAGAAGAATACTGTAAATTGATTAATATCTTGGATAAAACCTCTCTATGTCCTCAAAGCCTATACCTTATATGCCATAAACATTATAGGTGATTAACCTTTGATGACTACAATGATGAATAATATTTGTTACTATGTTATTTTTAAAGCAATTAAGGTGAAAAAAGACCCACAGTTTCTGGATGCCTTTTTTTAGTGTCAGTCAACATGAGGTCCTGGACATCTGCTTCAGGCAGGCCGGGTACTGACGTGCTTTAGTAACAGGACAGACAGTCACTGCTCTGCTGGTGCTTCAAGTTTGCTGAGCTGAGACCCAGTTTCCAGTTACAACCCTTTCTTACCCGCAAGCTCTGGATGGTCTTCTCATCTCGGTCATCATCCCGGTAGAATTTCCCCAGGACAATTTTGAGGTCTGCCGTCTTAATCACAGTGACCTTCCCCAGGTCTGTTACGCAGTGCGCAGCCACCACAATGGTGCGCTCGTTCACCAGGGCGCCGCTGCAGACCAGGAACCACGTGTCCTTGTGTAGGCTGCCCCCAGGCACCCCGCTGGCCCTCCTGTAGATGGCTACCTGCCATGGCCAGCGCATCCCCTGAGTCTTTGGAGCAGTGATGTTCTCAGTTTTCCCACAGACTATGGAGAAAGCACCAGTTCAGTAAAATAAGCTCAGGCCTCGAATGTGTCATTTTACCAAGAGAGCCCAAATCTGGAAAGGTGGGTCCCATGGGTGTGCTGACCACTAAGATTCTATTTTTTCCCCCTTTAAATATTAATCAATCAACATGGTTGGCTATGAAGTCTAGGATTAAGATTGGAGACTTCTGGTCCCAGGCACTTAACTATTAGTAGGACTTTGAGTAAGCTGCCTAATCTCTTAGAGCCTCAGTCTTCCTGCCTGCCAAATGGATATAGTAATCACAGTTATCTCATAGAGTTCTTGAAGAGACTGGATGAGATGATGCATATTTAAACAGACTGAAAATATCATGACTATCATTACAAACATGACCACAATGAATGAAGCCACACTGTTCTTTGACAGAGGAGGGAATGTAGCTTAGTATATGTAACACTCCATTCCAAACACCGCCACATATCTCAGTAATCATCATCATAAAGTTATGGGTAATTAATACCTCATTACCGAATTAATAACAATTGCTTACTTAATACTATTGGATGATGAGCATGGAGCTAAGACAGGGTAACCAAAATGACAGAACTGGAAAGCCTTTTGCACCTTTATCCTTTTCCCCCCTTGGTGTTTAATGACCATTCTCTCCCTTTTCTCCAAGTAAATATGATAGAGTTATCCACAAGAAAGTATGCCCTTCCCCAAAGAAGTCATCTAAGATTTAATGAGTTAATTTTTCCTGAGTTATAAATTTAAGCCAAAGGAAGGACGCCCTAACTGTGGAATTTCAGACATCACCACGCTATGGAATGCATTAGAGGACCATTTGGACAAGGAGCCTTCCCCAAAAAGCCTTCAACAGAGTTAATGGCTTTCCACAAGCAGGCATGGAAGATGTAAGCTGCTCCAGCCCCAGGACAAGCCTTGACTCACTAGGGATGCAGGACGGGGCACGTCCACTCCACTTCCCTGTCCTCAGGCACGTCCTCCGGCTGCTGCCCAAGCGGCGGTAGAAGGGCGAGATGCACTCGTACTGGAGCTGGGTATGCAGATGCTGGTACCCAGCGGGCAGGTCCCCAAAGGGAAGGACTGGCTTCTTAGTAGGGGTGCTCTGCAAGTTCTGCTTGCTGAAGGATGCCGAGTACAGCTGGTGCAATGGCGTCTCCCTGCACCGGGGCACACGGGCCCAGAGAGAGCAGGGCGAGAGACAGTCATTGTGGCCTCTTTAGTATCCATGCCAATCTCCACGTAGATATGTGGTTTCAGGAGAAAAAAATGGCTATGTCATTTTCTGTCTCTTTCCCTCTCTCCCCATTCACCTCTCTCTCCCTCTCCCTCCTCTCTCTCTCTCTCTCTCTCTCTCTCTCTCTTCCATTGAACCACAAAGCACATTCTCTTGCACTCCTCACCCTTTATTCCTTCATCTCCATTCTGGCATGGCATGCTTCTAGTAGCCTAGGATTTTAACCAAACAGGGCGATATCTGCCATAATAGCTGCTATCAAAAAGTAGGCTATAACATGCACACACACACACACACACACACACACACACACACACACAAATTGTGAAATTAAACAGGAAGGAAAGTTAATCTGAGTGAGAGAAATCCAGGCATATTGTTTTACTCTAACTGTTATCAAAATGGGGCAATATTAAGAACTGACTCAACTAACCGATGTTAATACAATAGCTTGATGTAGCAGTTAGCAGATGTAATTAGTACACCTCAGAGAACAGAACTTTCTCAGGGCACACTGATGAGCGGAAATATGGAGCTTTGTGTGTAAATGTGAAAAGGCTTTTTGAATGAGCTCTGAAATGGAAGCCCCCAGAGACCACCCCTGGGAGAGAGGTGTGCACATTGTACAGCTTCTGTTCCTTTTATATCAGTGCATAATGACTGGGAACTGAAAAGTTAGAATTCCTTTAGGAAACAATGTTTTCATCCCTGCTTGATGAATGGAGAAAGGAAGCCCAGGGAGGTAAGGGAGTGTCTGAGGCGCAGGCACACAGGAAGCCAAGACAGTGCCCAAGGCAGTGAGTGCTTAGCAGTCATGATTCCCAGCCAGTGTCTCTACCAATTTACTACCATCTTAGGAAATCTATTTCATGTGTCTGTACAGTGCTTCACTCAGAGCACATATTACATCCACACTGGTTTCATTCCACAAAGCTTTTAGCTCATGTTTAGAATGAGGCCCAGAGTTCAAGGAGCATTTGAACTTGAAAACAAGCTCATTTTTGGACTATGTGTTGAAGGTCTGCACTGCTTTGTGAGTTCCCAGGCGTAACTCCACTCCAGCAGCCTATCTTTCAGACAGCTCCTTAAAGCCAAGTTTGAGGCTTGCTTTCTCATCTACATGAGAAAGCGTATCTGGCACCTTGTCACCTCTTATAATTTCCCATTCCAATTGCTTTTAAAATGCAAACTGAGTGGTCTTTTCAACAGCTCAGGGTCTCTGCTACTTGGGAAGAACAGGTTTATCATACTGAGTGGAGAGTCTACCCCCAAGTAAATCACGAAGATCAGAAAAGGGGACAGAATTTGGACTCTACTGCCACTGTTCCCAAGGAAATGCCTTGCCTTCAGAGGGAAAGACAGAAATGGAATGAGAAAGTCAGAGGAAGGGCGAGAGATTGATGACTATCCTAATTTATGAATATTTCAGGTCTCGTGCCAGTCACTGGGATTCATTGTCCCTGTTCCTAGAAGCAATAGTGACCACTGACAGACCTTCATATGTGCAAGGCATTTTGCTAAGGCAGTTACACGGACCTTAGTTAAAGCTTAGTGCCAAAGAGAGCAGAGCCTGAGACCCTGAAGGCTCTGAAGACCCTGGATTTGCATCCTGGCTTTGCCACTTCTTCTAGAAAGGTGACCCTGCGCAAATTACTTAACTTCTCTGAGCTTCAGTTTACTTCTCTGTAACAAAAATGGTAATAAAATCTATAACAAAATGGTAATAATAACACCTACCTCAGAAGTGGTAGTGAGGATTAAATGAGCTAATACATGTAAAACACTCACAAGAGTAACAGGCACAGAGCAAATACTCAACAAACACTATTAGCATTGCATTTAATCCTTACAACTATCCCCAGAAACAGATATTATTACTATGATTATCCTTATTTTTTCAAAAGAGGAAACTAAAGCCTCAGCAATTTAGGAACTTGCCCAAGAACTAAAAGAGAGACAGAACCAGAATCCACTCTTGAACCTTTGTCTGTCAGCCCAGTCACTCATCCGTAAATGTTTCTGGGGTGCCTACTATGCAGGCACTGTTCTTAGCACTGGAACTTCACCATTAACCAAACAGAAAATGTTCCTGCACTTGTAACTTTTACATTTTTTGGTGGCATTTGGGGGAGACAGAAATTAAACAAACAAAAAAATGTACATAAGACAATGGGTACAGATGGATGCTAGGATGAAAACTGCAACATGGCGCAGGCCTGCAGGAGCTGGACAAGGAAGTCAGCTCTTGCGCTGAGGGTGGAGTGGGGACAGTCAGGGAAGGTCTCTCTGCCAGGTAAAAACTGAGCAGAGAACTGAACGAAGTGAGGCATTAGCCTGGTTGAAATTCAGTGGAAGTAGGTTCCAGACAGAAGGAGCCACACATGTAAAGGTGCTGGTGGCAGAGTGAAAAAGCAAGGCGGTCCGTGTAGCTGGAGGGGAGAGTGAGGAGAATGGTAGGAGATTAGATAAAAAGAGTATTTCCTATGAAACAAGGATAAGTAGAAATGGGCCTATGCTCTCCCTGCCGGTGGTCCCTACCTCTGTCTTTGCAGGAGAAAGGCCGGGCTGTCGTACCTGAGGGCTCACATCCCTCATCCGGGCAGGGCATTTATCTCTAGTTCCTGGGCTCCACCAGCCTACCTCATCTGCTTGATTACTACCAAGAGCATCTCCCTAAGCCACAGGGGGCTGGATTTGGTAGGAATGCCATCTCCTAGAAGCTGCTATAATAAATACATAATAATTTTAAGAAGAATCAAGTACTAAAATCCAGTTCCTTAAAGATCATCTTAAAGTCTTGCTTCCCATGATCCAATGAAATTTGTACATCTGCCAACAGTTGCTACCTCTTGGCCAAAGACACTTGGCTAACAAGCCTCCATCTAACAAGCTCTGTTCTTTCATGACCAGTTAGCACTGAGTGTCCCCAAGAAACACAGACTGTCTTTGGCCAAACACAAGTGGGGAAGGGGAGGGGGGAGGGGGGAGAAGAGACACATTCATTTGCCTTTAAAGCAGAGTTCAAGTATTTCCATGTCACCTTGACTGAACCTGCATTGGAAGAACTCTCCGTCTCACCAGGTCTGAGGTCTTTGGTTCTCGGCAGGCTAGAGAGAAAGAGCGAATGCTGCATAATCTTTTCCCGTATTGACCGTTCACAGCATTCAGTTCAGGGTCATCATTGACCACCCTTTCTGGACACCAGGTGCTTATTCCCTGGGGTCTCAGAGGGGTCACACACAGCTAAGCTCGGACAGCCCCCTCAGCAGCAGGGTGCTGCCTTTCCTCTAAGTTCACAAGCCCCTCTGAAGAATCAAAGCAAACACCTCTGCAAAGTTGGGTGATTTGGAACAGTGGCAGGTAATAGACTAGGATGATCTGTTAACATGAATAATATTAGCGAACTTGATGGAAAATGGAATAGAAGTCAAAGTGAAATTTCTAAAATATAGCCCATCATAGGGAATTACAGGGCTCTCACTGAAAAGCAGACAGCGGTGTCAACCACCGACAAAGCTTGAGTAACTGATTCTTCCATATCCTTTCTCTGTAATTAAGGCTCTTAACAACCTTTTGAGGGCACCTTCAAAGCCCAGTTTAATTTTGTTGAAGTCTTTCTTCACAAGTGAAAAGGAATCCCTCCCATCTCATTTTCCCAGTCAGGCAGCCAACATTCATCTAATTAGCAAACTGGAGAACTTGGGTCATATTAATTTGTAAGAGAAGGGTTCACAAAAATCTCCAAGGATGTATGTAACAGCGTTTCCATCCTTAATGAAATCAAGAATCAGAATCTGTGCTGCTGGGGGTGAAGGTCGGTTCTGGCTAAAGTCTAAAGTGATTTATTCCTTTCACAAACCCTTCTCTTTCATGCCTTTCCCCATGAGTTGGGCTGTTGACAGACACCCTGAAGGGAAAGTGGAGGCTTTGAGGCAATTATTTGGATAATCTAGGCCAAGGACATGTCTTTCTTCCTAGGAAACAGCCAGGTAATTGTGACCTTGCCCGCAAAATAGAGAGGCTGTTGACCTGGGGCAACCAGTGAATCAATTCAGTAAGAAACTACACACACCCCACTGCCAAGGGGTAAGGCTCCAACTCCTCTCCACAACATTCCATTTTTTTCTGGTCTCAAAACACCTTTGAAAATTTACCTTCTAGTTTCCCAGTTTGCCTCACTTTGAGTTTGCCACCATTCTTGCATTTCTACCTACATCTCTTTTTTTTTTCATTTGTTTTATGACTGGAATATTGTGCCAATTCCTCATCTCTTCTCCAAATCCTTCCCAGCTTCCCATACTGGCTCCAATCCTGCCTGCTGCGTGCAATTGCCCCTATTTCAGGTGATATGGTAAGTTCCTTTCTCTGAGCATACACTATTTACCTGTTCCTATAACTCTGCCTTGAATGTTCAAGGGTTTACCATCATTTTAAGATGGTTTTAAACATGTTAACATCTTAAACCTTCTCCACTGGCAGGGATGACGTGTCTATTTTGTTCTTCTATTTCCTACACTAATTTAATATTGCATAGAGGGTAGATAAATGTAGTACATAAATACATGTTAACTGCTTCACTTCTGTCCTTGGGCTTGCATATGTAAAACTCTGCCCTGTCATTTTTACTAAACTGCTCTGTTAACTATATCAATCTTCCTGATCCCATCAGATGCTGTGATAAGCAAGTCCTTTGAAGATCCACAAAAGAAACAAATGTTTTTAGGGATGTTTATAATATAGAGTTATAAACGGTTCATGTGAGAACTTGAGAGAGAAAGGCATTTTTTTCAGGGGCTCACAAACATGTCTGGGAGCTACCAAAAAGCCCAGCAATTCTAGCTACTTCCATGGACTTCAGAAATATTTGCAAGTTACCTTTTATGCAGATGGGCTGTTTCCCTGACCACTCGCCATTCGGCTGGCAAGTTCTCTTCTCATTGCCACTAAGAACATATGAGTTGTTACAAAAGAAGGACACAATGGTGCCAATTTTTGCATGGTGCCCATTGATTAGCCCAGGGCCTCCTGTTATTTTCTTGTACCCATTGACTGGGCCCCCAGGGTCTGAGCAGTTTTGTTCTTCAAGGACTAAAAGAGAAAAGAAAAGGAGGGCTATTAAAAGTCGGAAGCATTCTATTTTAGAATAAAATCTGTTCATGTTTCATTGAATCAAAAATGCAGCGGTTTGGAGCCTGCCAACAATGGCACTCGAGGGAACTACCAAGAGAAAACTCATAATAGCAAATGCGTGTGTGAAACATGTCTTCCCCTTGCTTTAGTGATTTATTGAATCAAGAAGTATTTCATTCCATATATAAATAAATTTGACACCCCAACAGGCTTTCATATGATCTTGTTCATGTCTTTCTCAAACTGTGATAGCTGGGCAGGCCTGGACAAAATAAAAACATTTCACCTAGATTTGATGACCAGTATTCAAAAGGTATTGTTTTTCACCATTTTGTATTACCTTCTTCATTCCCTAAAGCTGGAGCAATTAAACTAGACCATTCAGTTTCCTATCTGGGTTGCACCAGGAAAATAGAACTCATTAGACACAAGAGTACATATATGAAATGAACTTAGAGTTTATATTTCATCTCCAGGAAAATCAGTGTGTTGAAAGTTATAGTTAAAAAAATACTTAGAAGATGATAAAAATTCAGAGACACAACAATTTCTCCTTGATCTCCAAATCTAAACACTTAATATTCTTCATTACAAAGGTTATTTCTATTCTCTAGCTCATGTTGGACAGCTAGTTAAAGTAGAAATGGCATTACCAGCTATTCTGAGCACTGAACAGAATATTAAATATGTCCTGGAAATATCCCACCAGATAGATAATATATTTTTCCCAGATGGATTATGGCACAACACTGAATATTACTTGCTTAAGGGTACAGAGTAAGTCCCCTGAAGAACTCAACCTTTAATTACTGAGTCTGGGTACCTATCACTCTGTCAGCCACCCTAGTCTCTTTTTAATCATTTCCTCTAGACACAGGCTCATCATATAAAACAGCCCTTGTGCAATGCGATTATGCATTTGACATGCTTTTCTTCCTATAACTGACCCAATTACCTTTCAAGTGATTTATTTGCTTGCCTCCAGGCAAGAAAAGAATCTCCATTCACACATTTCTAAAATATTTGAAAACTAAAAGTTAATCATTACCCTATGTGCAATTTGACAAGGTTGCTAATATTAAGACGAATTATTGGTTGTCTCCTCTAAGACTGCCTATAAGCCACATGGCAGATGATCTCAGTGAGGTTTTGTATGCTTTTGGGCTCTGGCATCTGAGCAGCTTCCCTGGTGGGTGACTCCCAAACCACATTTTAAGTGTAAAAATGGGACCTCCCTGAGTGAATTTTCTATAAATGCCAAAAAAGCGTAGAGAAGGCAATGCACTCTTTGAAGCTTCAGAGGGACTCAGAAAGCCCCAGTGCTTAGATTTCCAGGAATCTGTGATGGAGAAGGAAGAGGCAGAGAAAACAGTCCATATTTTTTCAGTGATGGGGCTACCTTCTTACAGTACAGACTCATTCAGCGCTGAATAACTCATGCAGCCCAAAAACAACTGGCAGGAAGCCACAGCCTACAATTTCCTCAAAAACATGGTGCATTAACATCTGCAAGTTTTTGAAAATGGAACTCATTGGTAACATAAAAATCAGGACATTTCCCACAGACTTCTGTATTATTGGCCTCTGACAAAATTCAGATTTGGAAACCTCAGGCCTGTATTCCCACATGGCAACCATCAGCTGGCATTGAGAAGTGCCTCCCCGCTTAGAGGAGGGCTGTATTCATCACTGGGCCCTGGGCCACAGACCCGCCCCTACCCCCTAGTAGGGACTGGAATCTGTGGCCAGTTAGCCTATCAAAGGGCTCTGATGTGTGGAATACAAATGTAGTTCCTCATCCGTTCTGAGCTCTTCTTGCTAGATTTCATGGCCAGGAAAACTTGGGTGGTACTTCAGAGCAGACCTGGAGTACTGAAAGAAAATGAACTATACTCTAGCCATATCAGCCTCAGCAGGAGAAATCTCTTCTACTGAAATAAAAGTAATTACTAGCCTGATAGTTGGGTTTTCTCCTCTTGAAGTAAATACTCCCACAGTATACTAGGCTCCCACTGCATGACTTCCTATGGGCAGGATTCTCACAGATCATATTTCTATTACATTTTATGTGGGTTAAACTAGCGGGAACATTGGGAAGTTCTTGAGCCCTTGGAGGTAACAAAGCCTTGGAACAATTCAAGTTCCCTTTTTTACTGAGGAGGCTTTAAAAGAAACCTTAAAGAGAAACTGGCTCAAACTATACCAACAAGTCTATCTGAAGCTGAGAAGTTCTGCCTTATTTCTATAATTCTTAGATGCCTACTCTTTTATAATGTGATATGTCTGAAATCAGGTCTCATGGTGCTTTCTGTGTGTTACTTATTTACTTCCAACCCCCAGAAAAGCTATAATTAAGTTAACAATGCCCCTTATACTTGACAAGATCTTAGAATGGAGAACTATTATTTGTTTTTAAGTCATTGTTCATGGAATGCCACCAGGATAGAGCCAAATGAGGTTTCAGAGTTAGGGTCAAATGGAAGGCCAGACTACACAGCTAAAATTCAAGAGTTGTACAGACAATAGAAACAGATTTATAAAGGGTCAGTTAGTGTAGTTGGCTGACACTACTTAAAATATACTATGTTCATCATGAAATAAAGGACAAAATTGAGAACTTCAGTAGAAAATTGCAAACTTTAAGAAATCTAGAACTGAAAACTTACAATGACAGAAATTTAAAACTCAGTTAAGTTAATAGTAAATTGATTATAGCTGAAAAGTATTAATAAACTGAAAGAGAACTTAAAAGAAAAAATTCAAAATGAAGCCCAAGAGACAGAAAGGTGAAAAATGGAAACATACAGATACAGTGGGAAAGTTAATAAATGTAATTGGCACCCCAGAAAGGGAAGAGAGCATGGAGTAAAACCAGTATTTACAGAGATAATAGCTGAAAATTTTCCAAAACTGATCAAAGACATCAGCCTACAGACTCACAAAGTCCCAAGTCAGATATTTATGAAGAAAACCACATATAGTGATATTACATAAAATTGTCAAAAACCAAAATCAAAGAACATTTTAAATGGTCAAGGTGTGGGGAGAGATTGGGAAAGCATACTTTAAAATAATTATAGTCATTATCTCTGGCTTGTAACATTGAGAATGATTTTTGGTTTTGATACTTTTTTCCCCAAGTTTCATAACCAGAAAATGTGACTATAAGTCTGTTGTTTATTATTCTTGTCGTTGTTTGTTATTTTTATTTTTTTAAGTATTAAGCAAAATGGCTCTGGTCCTCCCAGCTAAGCATATAAACCTAGCAGTTAGGCTTCCACACCTTTCTTTATGTTCCCATATCTTTCCACCCCATGTAAATCCCTTTACCATTTTGCATAATCAGAGTAATCTGACTTTCCATGAACTCAGATTTAAATGAATTCTGTCTCTAGACTCTAGTGGAAAGTAAACGGCTTCCAGAATCAGATAGATATAGGTTCAAACAATCATTTGGTTCCCCAGTGTCCAGAATAAGCACACAGTATGTGCTCAATAAATCTCCACTGGTGAGTCAAAGAGACAAAGGGAGAAATTTATTCATTTTTCTACTTAATGAACTAGGGCCTGAGAAATTTGCTGAATTTCTCCAAGCCTTGCTTTTCTCATCTGTGAAACAGGATAATAACAGTTATCTGGCTGGGCTGGGTTTGAGGAGGAATTTAAATAACATACAGTCTCCTTTCCTTTGTTTGCCTTGATTTACAAAGCACCTAACTGCCTTTAAAAATCAATTCCTCAAATTCATATACCTTAAAGGAAAACACAAAGAAATCTTAAGGCCCATTATTGGGTCTATTTAAGAATAAAGCTTAGTCCACTCTAATTTCTGGCTTCTCAGTAATGTCTATACATGATGAGCTTCTACACCCGGGTCTAGTGTGTTGAATCAGACTCTGGGTACCAAAGAAGGACATTCATCTGTTTTAATCCTGCACATTGAAGCCTTAAAATTTTATTTCTATGTCGAATATCACTGGGCATTATTCTCTCTTCCCTGTCATTTATTTTCTGCACTTTCAAAGCTATACCCACTCCTATGATGCTTTTGAAAAGAATCCTAAGACTTCCTCCATCCATCCTTTTTTCTCCCAGTTTAGACATCTACCTGTTGGGCTCACAGATCATCTGCATCTCATCAGAACATCTCCCCAGGGTTAGATTTCAAAATAATTTCGCTTTTTTTCTCCCTATGGGTTCTTTTTTTAGAATCCTTTGCATCTCTGCATTCAGCAGACTCCTGACTCTTTTCTATTTGATCTTTCAAAGGCTTTGTGTTTGATTTTTCCTCTGTGGGATGGAATTTTTCACAAGAAGCCAAGTGAGAATTTAAAACGTCTGCATCTTTGGTCTGAGGAAGCATGTTTCTTCATCTGCTAAGTAAAATATTCCATGATTAATAATAGCACATTGCCCTGTTACTTTTGGGACTCAGTCTGTGGACATAAACATATTAAATTTAGCATGCCCTTACATGTTATTTCGTGAACAAAAACAGTCCTCAGGGGTGTGTTTCTCTGAGATACTGTTTCGGATAAATATCTACCCTTGTCTTCTTATTTTCTTTTTCAGGGCGACAGTATGAGGTGGCCTGCTGGGATACCACTTTACAGAAGGACAAAGCAATGGCATTGTGAACGCTATTGGTGCCCTACCCAGGCACCCTCATATCCCTTTAGCAGGTCAACTTGTACATGTGTGCTTTGCTGCTGAGAGCTGGCACCTGCCACCTACCCTTGGGCATGAGCATCATCTTGTTTGTATGAAGAGCTGAAAAATGCCTAGACTTTTGTCTCCTCATGCCCACCCCAGGGCTGCCTATAGCATGTCTGATAGGTATGGAAGTGCAAATGCCCACTCCTGTTCCTTGAGGTGTCACTTACACTCCTCAGCACCCCGGAGGTTCAGGCTGAGTCTGGGAGTTCCACTGAAATCACTCTCGCTTGGTTCCTTTCTTC